ATGCTGGGATTACAGGCATGCGCCACCATGCACGGCTAATTTTTTCTATATATTTTTAGTTGGCCAATTAATTTCTTTCTATTTTTAGTAGAGACAGGGTCTCACTCTTGCTCGTGCTGGCTTCAAACTCCTGACCTTGAGTGATCCGGCTGCCTCGGCCTCCCAGAGTGCTTGGATTACAGGCTCGTGATCACAGGCTTACAGGTCGTGAGCCACAGCGCCTGGCCAATAAATGCTTTCTTGATCTCACTTCCTTTTCAAATTTCACCCTCTCCTTTCTCTCCTTTCTCTTATAGTGGAAGTCCTTGAAAACCTTGTCTCCATTTGCCAGACCCCGAGCAAGGTGTTCGGGTTACAGTGGTGATTCAGCAGACACTCTCCAAAGCCCCCCAAAGTCCACGTGCCTGCACTTGACCCAAGGCGCAGGCTCCCTGGACGTGGGGGCCCCGATTCCTCCCTGGCTGCCCCTCTGCGGCACGCCTGGGGGCCGGTGTGCTGCTGGCTGCAGGGGGAGGGGCTGTGGCTCCTTTCTCAGCTGTCCCCCGAAAACTGGAGTAGGTTTTGTTTTATTTTAATTTAAAATACACGCATCCTCCCACCGTGCCCAAGATAGACATGGTGTGTGGGTTGTAGCCCGCCGAAACTGGAAACTTCTAGAATCTCACTTTTCATCTTAAACACAACAGAAGAGGATGAATTCACACGTAGGCGTTTCCAGACTCAGGGAACAGCAAACACGTCCTCATCGGTTGCGGGCTCTCTCTGTGCAAAAGGCACCGCACCCTCTGGACCCCCTCTCCTCAGCTGCCTGTCGCTCCCTCTCTGGTCCCCACAGTGTGGCTCCCCGCGGCACTGGCCAGGGCCTGGTCTTCCCGACGCAGCCCCCGCTGTCCCAGGCTCCCTGCCCTGCTCCTGCCAGGTTCCCTGAGGGCCGATGGTGGCTGTCCGCGGCCATGTCCCTACTGGGACAGGAACCTGCCTGCACTGAGAAGGCGTCACCTCCCAGGTCCCCCGCTAGAGTCCTCTGCGCGCCAGTCCGTGAACCGGGCTCCTCTTCACGTCTGCTTTCTGCTTCTCCGGAGCCTCGGCCGCCTCTTTCCCTGACGCAGGCGGGTCATTCCCGCTGGGCAGGGTGCCGGCGCAGGTGGCTCAGCCCCTGATCCGCCCAGGCCGGGCGAGAAGGAGCAAAATTCTCCCGGTCTCAGTTTGCGAAGAGCAGGCAGGACTGCCCCTGGCCCCGGGCGAGTCTCCGGTGGCTGCTGTGGCAGTCACAACAAGCTGGGGGCTCGGGACACAGGCACGAACCGGAGTCTTAGACCCAGGCGTTGGCAGTGCTCTCTGGAGGCTCCAGCCGAGAGCCCCCCTCGTCCCTCAGCTCCTGGGGGCTGCTGGTGTCCCTCGGCTTGTGGCCGCGTCGCTGCCTTCTCCTCCGTGCTCCTGCTGTTGACTCTCCCGCCCCTCTTGTACGGGACGCTGTGATCGCCTTTAGGGCCCACCTGCAAAGTCCAGGGCGGTCTCCCTGCCTGGAAACCATCGGCCTGCACATCTGTAGGGGCTTCGCCACGCAAGGAACACCCGCAGGCTCCAGGCCTTAGGCCCTGGCGTCTCGGTGGCTGTTATCAGTTCACCGCGGGCCCCACACCCTCCCTGCGACACCCGGCTTGGGCGACACACACACCTGCGGGCACAGGAGCAAGCCCCACCCCTGAAGAAGTGCAGGGGGACCACCCACGTGGTCCATGAGCCGGCAGCCAGGCCATATCTCCCGTAACTGCTGTTTGCATAGGAGCATATGAGTTCCAGAGAATTCTGCATGTTTCTCCAGGGAGGGGTTATCACTGACACTATTGTTATCTCCATTTTATGATGAGAAGCTGATTTTAGGGCTCAGCCACTTGCTCACTCGGAAGGCCCCATTTCCTGCTGGTAGGGGGCCAGTCTCCGCTGGACCTCTGCTTGTCAGGAGGCTGTGGGTCAGGTGGGAGGGGCCAGGGACTCTGGGGGAGGGCTGGAAGGGGGAGGGACCGGCTGTGGCTGTGCTGCCTCATGTCTGCTCCAGGAAGGCTCCTCGGAGGGCGTGGTGGGGTCTGAATGACGTGAGCTTCTCTGGACGCCCATAGTCCCCCACGCCGGAAGCCGAGCTAACTCCTGTTGCGAATGCTGTATTAGCACGGCCGTCGGGCCAGGCAGGCGGGGGAGAGAACCAGCAGACAGCCCAAGTCAGGTGGCTGACTCCAGCGAGCACACCCCCTTCCATCCTCCCAAAGTGGGGGTTGGGCCCCAGGTGGGTGGCTTTCCTCCCAAGTCTCCACCACCCTAGGGCTCAAGGCCACCTTGGAGACACTCGTCAGCACACAGAGAAAGATAGACTGCAGGGAGTTTTCTGGCCAGGCAGGAAGAGCAGGCATCATTCCTGCCTTCATTGCACCCACCGGACCCCAGTTATCAGGTCTCGACTCAGCTGCAAGGCAGGGTGGGAGCTGGGGTGGCCGTGCACCTGCAGAGAGGGCCAGTGCTGGGGAGCACCGGCATCTCCCCTCACCCAGGAGGCTGCCTCACCTAGAACGTGGCGATAGAGCAGGTGCCATTCACTGGGTTGGGCCAGGTGATCACTGATTATTCTAGACTAATTCAGATCATTCTAATACTGACTCTGCTGCAGCATTGCTGGCAGGGCCATGGCAGGTCCAGGCAGGGCCGGCTTCATGGGCGTGTGACTTGGACAGTTGCTCAGGTCCTGCACTTGGTTTAATTTTCTGCTGTTGCTGTCTTCTACTTTGGGCCCGACAACAGGAGAACTTGAGATGCTGGGACAAGAAGCTATCAGAGCAGAGCATGGCTATGGTTTGGGGATAGGAAGAGACGGCTCATTCCTACCAGCCTCTTGTAGATCTGGGAACAGACACAGATTCACCACAGAATATCCACCACACAGAGACTGTTGGAATAAACTAACCAGCCTATCAACCAATCAGCCTACCAGACAACCAAACAACCAAGCAACTAACCAACCAAGCAACTAACCAACTAACCTACCGACCAGCCAATCTACAAGCCAACCACCCAAACAAACAACTAACCAACTAACCAACCAAAGAACTAACCAACTAACCTACCAACCAACCAATCTTCAAACCAAACAACCAAACAACTAACCAACTAACCTACCAACCAACCAATCTACAAACCAACCAACCAAACAACTAACCAACTAACCAACCAAACAGCCATCCTACTAAAGAAAACTAGCACCTTCTTGGAATTAGCAGTCTTTCGTGTTTTTACGAGAAGTTTGGAGTGCAGTTTTTCTTGTCCTGATGGTGTTGATTGTTCACGCGGATCCGATTTAGGAGCAGATTGCTAGAAGCTCGTAGACCCTCCGCGCCTCTGATTCCCGGGAGAAGACACCGAATCCCGGCATTCAGAATTTACCCACACTCCATCTCGGTGTGCTTTGGGGATCTCTTCTGATACCCGTGACACTCAATGCAGTTTGTAAAAGTCGATTTAAGTTGGAAATGGGGTTTTGTTTAGGAGACGCATCTTGGTGAGAAGCCACGTCTAATTCCCTGGCAGTTGCAAACGATTTTCTCCCGAACTGGGGGGTTGAGATCTGTTTTCTGTTCTCTGCGCTGTTGTTCAGAGTTTTGGCAAGGAGGCTTTTTGCAAATGTGAGGCGACCCCCCTTTTCTCATTATCCCAATGTCCTTTAATTTGCAAAGTTTTCGCCTCCCCCAGGCGGCAACCAAACAATTTGGGTAAGTATCTCATTATCGCCTCTCGCCCTCCGGGCCGAGGTGTTGGATGGTTTGTTGTTTCCCGTTCTGGCCCCTGAAGTTTAATTTTCTGTCACGTAGGACTATTCACTGGCAGAGTTTAAATCCCCACGAATCTCGTAATTCATTGAAACTCAAGCCCTTTCTTTCTCTATTCGCCGTAACGTCTACAAAGATCTCAGAAGAAATTGAAAATGGGCAGCCGAGTGGTTCTATGGGCGCTCTAAGCCTTTTTTCCCCTAATGAAACGCGTTACTTTTCTGATGATTTTTGTCCCATGGCGTTCAGTTTCTTGTCAAAGGTGATAAACGAGGAGCGAATAGGTTTTATGTTCGCCTCTCCTTGCTCAGCGGACTCTTCCCCCCGCCCAGTCTCTCTTGCGGTCTGCGGCGTCTCGCCGCGCCGGCAGGTGGCCACGGGAGGCTTTCCGCGGGCGACCTGAGACGCCCGGAGACGCGTTGGCTCCTAAGTCATTCCCGGGGCTCTGCCGGGCACGGAGTCCTCGCTCCCGGGGTGCTTCCCTTCATTGCTATTTTAACTCCATCTGTGAGGTTCCCGAGTTTACCCCAGGCGTGGCGGTTTTCCCCCCACGCGGCCCCTCAGTCTCTGTTGCCGCCTTGTCTCCCGGACGTCGCCTCTCCTGGCCGCTCTGCCCTGCCGCCTCTCGTTCTGCGCCAGCCTTCGCTCCGAGGCTCTCGGCATCCCCTCCTCAGACGCGTTTCGCTGTATTTTAAAATGTTTGCGTCATCTCACCCACGTATAACAGCTACATATCCCGCTATTCGCATCAACTCAGAAATATCTATGAACTATCTTCGCGGCCAAAAAGTGAAACCTTGGTAAGACTTTTCCTGTCTGCTTTGTGGCTTCGTGACTGCTTGGAGTCCCCTGAATTTGGGGAGAGGTCGTCTGTGGCTGCTCCCGGATGTGGGGTGACTGTGGGCCTGACACCTGGGAACCGGGGCACGCCTGCGGTGGGACCCTCCGATGCAATTAACATGGACAACCTAAAAATGATACTCCCGCCGTTTCACCCTCTGCTCCAAACCACGTCTCTCTTTATCAGGGGCTTTTAGATGTGCATCTGGTCACACTTTGTTTTCTCCTTCCTCTCCTGGAAATTGCTGTTGACATTTTCCTATGCAGACGTGGAACTTTGACACTCTTTATACAAAACTCAGTTGAAAGCTTCAGAAAACTCATTCATTTTCTTTTGGCTTACAGGATGGGGACACGGAGGTGAACTTGTCCATTTCCCCGTGGGAAGTAGAAATTTGAGGGATTTCAGAAAAGCCAGCATCTGAAGATCCTTAATATCTTCCTCCGATGGACTCGGTGAGGAAGCGCCTGCCGCTCGCCGGTTTTATGCATTCGAAATGGCTCCTCGGACACCTCTGTGCGGGGCTAATGAGGGAGATTTGCAGGCGTGGAACGGAGCCACGGATTCTGAGAACTCGCCTTGGAGAGATGCATTTTTACGAGGATACTTTTAACAGGGGTGTTTGGGAGGAAGTCACATTAGTGCAGAGGCCTTGTAAAATAAAAAAGGCCGTAAGTGTGCGAAAGGTGATTAAGTGCCTTGCTGCGAAAGTTTAATGGTGATTCCTGGGGCTTTTAGGCAAATCTTTCCTCTAACACCATCTCTTAGCACAAAACATTGTTGGGAAAGCGTTCTCTTAAATCTGGCTCCTCAGGGTGAGTTTGCCCAGCCCCCCGACTTCCCTGGGGGTGGGAAGATCTGCACAGGAAGGAAACCAGACAAAAGGCCACTGCCCGAGATAGGTGGCCCCCAAATCACGTTATTCGCCTCGGGTTTAGAAGCGCTGCCTGTCACCCTGCAGGTCCTCTAGCGTGGGTTGAGTGCTCGCCCCTAAAAAGGCATGTTGACGTCCGGTGCCTGTGAGTGTGACCTTATTTGCAGACAGGGGCTTTGCAGATGTAATTAACGGTGCGTTCCAATGCGGCCCTGCTGGAGTGGGTGGACCCAGCTCTGCAGGACTGGGACTGGCGTCCTTGGAAGAAGAAGAGGCCTGTGCGGAGGGACGAAGGCCGAGTGCGGGCACAGACGCAGGCAGGGAAGTCGCCGTGCAAAGGCAGAGGCAGCGGGGAGGGAGGTTGTCCCTTGTCAAGGAATGCCAGTGGCCACCAAGAGCTCAGAGGCAAGGAAGGTCGCTCCCCGGTGTCTCCAGGGGGAGGCGGCTCTGCGGAAACCTTGACTGCAGACTTTCGGTCTCCAGAATTGTGGGAGAATAACCTCTAAATTCTGCTGCTTTAAACCTGCAGTGTGTGGTCACGGGTCACAGCAGCCACAAGACTCTCCCGTGTCCTTCCCCCTGCCTTTTAAGGCCAACGTGGGCTGGGAGCCTGAGTGGCAGAGCTTGAGTGTGGACTCCTGCTGTCCCCACGAGAGACTGCCACCCTTCCTGGGCATGTGGCCCCGTCGCGTGTAGACAACAGGGGGGAAGTTCTCCGAGGGAGACGTGCTGGTGTCAGGGGCCGGGCTGGGGCCGGGAGCTGCCTCCTGAGTTCTGCGTGCTGCCCTCCCTGTGCACAAGGCCCCCCGGCGCCGGTGGTGTCCCCAGAATCTGCCCTGCGCACCCCCTCCCCGGGGAGCTTCGTCTGCTCCGCAGAGCCGGGTGGCAGATAAGCTCCTGGCCAGAAGAGGTCAGGGTCTGCGGCGGGGCTGCCAGGATGCTTGCCTGGGGCTGGGCCCCCATCCAGGGCATGAGGGCCCCCAGGCAGCAGGTGGCGGCTGGACTCTCACTTCCTCGCCTGGAGTCCCCGTTCCTGAGTCGGAAGAGCCTCAGTCCCCAGCAGCCGCCTCATGGGGTCCCCTGGTGGGTGCACGTAGAAGACACCAGAACATCTGGCTGCACCCCGAGAAGATCCGGACATCGGCCGTTTCCTCTGCCCTGTTTTGAACATTCATCTCATTTTACGTAGATTTACTGGGCGCCGAATAGAACTTCCCTCGAATGCCATCCGCCGCCCCACCGCTCCCTGCCTCTCTCCTCCCTTTCTCCCGTGCACCTGCTTTTCTTTTCGTCTGAATGGGAAGTCATCAGCCCCCCCTACAGAGAACCCGTCCCCCACACGTAGGCTGTGCCTGTGCTTTTCCCGGGTGCAGCCTTAACGTCTTGCCTTCCCAAACCTCCACTGAGTGTAAGTCTACCATTTGCAGCCACTTAGTGTTTAAGTTTACAAGTGCAAATTCTGAATCCAAAGGGCTGTGTCATAATCAAGGATCCAGCCGGGAATCCCAGCCGCCACAGGCTTCGGCGGCCTTTCATGGAGTCTGATGACAAAGGGGGTGGGCCCCTTGTGAAATTATATTATTATCCTCGGGGTGGGGGACACCAGGCTCCCGGGAAGAGGTGGTCCCTGCGGCCCCGCTGAGACGAGCTTCAGTTTGCATGCAGGTGGAGGTGAGTGGAGCATGGCTTCCCATTGGAGGGTGGCGTGGGGGGGGGCGCTGCTGTGAGGACCCTGCTCTACGTGGAGGCTCTGTGGTCTGCAGCTGTCCTGGGACCCTGTCCAGCTCTCCCCAAGCCCCAGGACCAGCACGTGTCAGGCCCAGGCTCCCCACTGAGGGCCTCAGGTCCTGGCTGGCCAAGCTCAGAAGGTCTCCTTTGACTGCTGTTCTAAAGAACAAAAGAAACAAAAACAAAAACAAAAGCAAAAGCAAAACCCCTAGGAAAGCAAATAAGAAGGTCTTACAAAACCTCCCTGAAATGTAAACACGGAGGTCGGGGTCCCGCAGGAGCTAATTAGGGCTGTTCCCCTGCAAAGGATCTGCTTTCTGGAGATCTTCCCCACACTTGGCCCAGGGCCTGCCCACCGCCCCTGCTGCATGGCTTTGTCTTCCCTTCTTGACTAATTGCTGTTTAAGCTAAGTGTTGTCAGATAAATGGCTTCTTATCCAAATAACCAAATACCTCCCGGGCACTCCAGAGACCTGCTCACCTTGGGCTGGGAGCAGGCTTCAGCTCGGTTTTCCCACCTCTGCTGGGCGATTTAGCAACTGCTGGTGGAGAGATGCTAAATTAATTAAAGAGGCGATGGTAATGAGGAGCAGGGCTCAACAGTGAAAATCAGATTTTAATTGAAAAATGAAATGCATCTCCCCAGCATCAGAGGTTAGATCTGGAATGCTGATGTTCCATTAGCAGAGCGTGTGGCGTTTAAGTCTGATGAAATATACATTTGCGGGCACACAGGGGGCCGGGGACACCTCCTGCAGATGGGCTGTCGTAGGCAGGCCGGGGGTGGCAGCCTTCTCCTTGGCCGGCCTGGGCTGAGTGGCGGTCGGGCAAAGGTGCAGAGGGGGTGGGGCTCAGGCCCCACCCTCGAATGCCAGGAACACACCGAGTGGAGTGTCACCCGAGGTCTGTCCCCTTGGGGCCCGTACCCACAGCCCGCTCACTGAAGGGAGGAGTCGCCCCACCTGTGGGCAGCAGCCCTGGGCTGGCAGGGAAGATGCACGGGCAGGTGGCATTGGAGCCAATGTTAGCATCGGGAGGGACTTTAGGGTCCTTTTGTCCCACCCTCTCCCCCTTTTTGATGAGGCAACCCAGGCTCAGAGAGGAAAAGCACCTAGCCCAGGTACTCAGCAGTCAGCGCCAGGGTGGGAGCCGGGGCCCCCAGGCAATGCTCCCTGCTCTCGGGGACCCTCCGTCTGCAGGCAGAGCACCCCCAGCGCGGCCAGGCCGGCGTTCACAGACCGCGTGCAGGGCTGGCGTGGCTCGGGCCGCGCAGTGGTATGGGACGCAGCCTCCTTCCAGACGTGTTTTCTCTGAGGCTGCTCTGGTGGAAGGACGGAGGCAGCACTGTTGGCTCAGAGTGGGAGGGCCTGGTGACGTGACGCCACCCTGAAAATGCAGGGCCTGTGTCCTCGCCGGTGGTGGCCTTCCCTTCCCCGGACACTGAGCCGGCGAGGGGACCTGGGATGCCACGACTGGCCTTGGTGGGGCGGGAGCCTGGCAGCAGGTGTGGTGTGTGGTGGCCCCCAGGCGGGGCTGGTGGGTCTGGGGACAGTCACGGGGCCTGAGCCTCGTCGAGGGACGTCACGTGAGACTGGACCTGGGTTGGAGAGAGCGCACCCCAGTATCCGGATAGTCGCCCCCAGTCCCGGTTCGTGAAATCAATCAGGAATTTCTAGGGCCCCGGCCACTGTGTTTGCTATTGACTCAGGGAGGAGAACCGGGTCTGTGTGACGCCCACGTTCAGCGTCCGAGTTTATTCTCTCGGCATAGGAGGAGCTCGGCCCACAGGGTCCCTGGGATCGCCCTCTGGAGCTGCAGTGCCGGAGAGAAGTGTGATTCCCAGTCACAACCACCCTGTCCCCCTCCGGTCATTTGCAAGTGGAGATGCCCTTGTCTCCCCAGTACCGTGGCAACCACAGACAGGAAGCGCGATGGCGCTGGGGATGGTTTTGCTGCCTCCGATTTTGGCTAATGGGATAAGTTATAATTTCATACTCTCACATATCAGCATCCATCCAAAATGAGTACATTAGAAGCAATTAGTGTAGATTATGGATTTGAAATGAAGAAGGAAATATATTAATATGTCTAATTACTATGTTAATTAGACATCGGTGCCATAATATTTCATACCTAAATGCTAATGTTGATGAGGCTATAATTATTATTATTATCATTTTTTGGAGTGGAAAATGAATCTCTGCTGTTTTACTCGAATGGTAAATAGCAGACATTTGCCTGGTGTTTTTTGGGGGGGTGACTAGGTGCGTGGGTACCCCGGCCTGCCAGCCGGGTATTGGAAGCCCTCAGAAGCATCCCAGCAGGCAGCACGGTTAGCAGAAAACCAGGCAAATGTGCTGCAGCCCCAGGGCATCATGTCAGATCCCGCCTACAACGGTACGGTGTGAGCTTAGGCATTTCAAGGAATTTGCTGGACTTTTGATGCCTTTTGCATTAAATGTCCTACATTGCGTTTTGTTTCTGTAGGTTTCCAAGTCCACGCTGTCCCAGAGCATCGGGAATGGGCCAGCTGGGGCTCCCCGGGGCCTCTGGGTCGTGGAGAAGGAGCTGTGTCCGCGCTCACGTCAGAGACTGAGCCGTCCCCCCAGGTCGGACGGACAGGTAGAGTGCCCCAGGATTGCCCAGAATTTTCCCTGAGTCGAAAATGGACAGTCCTGCCTGCTGGGAAACTATCCTGCTTTTAAAACTGAAAGTCATGTGCCCCGGGAACTCCTCGGTCCTGGGCAAGCCATGCTGCACCTCCCTCTGTGCTCCAGGGACAGACACCTCAGAGAGACCCAGTCTGGGCCTGTGGGACTGACTGACTCCGGTGGGGCATGACACCAGCTAGCAGTTCTGGCCTGCAAAGGTGGCTTTGTGCTCAACAGCAGCAGGAACAACTGGAAAATGTGTTTTCCTCCCATCCTACTAATTCTGAACATGTATGATTATTTGCAACATTTTGTTTAAACGTGGCCTTGGGCTTTGTTTAGCAGCTTTAAGAGGGTGACCTTAACCTTGATATTGCAGGGGGGCTGGTGGGGGGCTCTACCTCGGCCCTAAAGGTTGTGGGCAACCCCTCTCCGCTGAGAGGGCTCTGGTGCTCAGTCAGTGCACCCAGGCCCAGGTGCTCAGTCAGTCCCGGGAGCCTTGGGCGCTTGCCCTGTGTCTGATGTCCACGCCTTCTTCCTGTGGGAGTGTCACCCGGTCATTCCCAATGGCTGTAGTCCAATGGGACCTGGACAAGTGTGCCCGAGCTTCCCCGGCTGAGGCACAGGCTTGCCCTGGGAGCAGCCAGCAGACATCATTCCCTCCACAGATCCCGAATCTCGAGCAAAGCGCAAATGGCTGGAAAGTGGCTGGAGACACTCTGCCCTGCAGAGGCGAGGTCGTGCCCGTGTTGCCGTGCCCTGGTCTCTCCGGAGCTGCCTGGGTTTTGTCCTTTCCCAGCGTGGTTCCGTGACCTTTTGTTGGAGTCTGTGAGCTTCTTTCATATCCCTCCAATGAATCCCCCAGTTGCTTGAATTTTCCAGATTGATCGATGTTACTAGCAAACAAAGAACCCCGATGTGTGTACAGAGATGAGTCCCAGATTCAGAGCGTGTCAGGGTAGGTTTAGGGCTCCAGGGTTCTCCAAATTGCACCACTGTGATTCTCGGTGTCCTGTTCTTTCTAACCCGGTGAGGTTGTGCGTTTGAAAGCTGCTAGAATTCAGCAGCCTGAACAAAGTCTGAATTTAGTGTCCGCCGATCTCAGCCCCTTGTGGGGGAGCGGAGAGATGAGATTCTCTCAGCGCCGTCTTGGGCTGTTTCTGGGTCTCGGCGAGGTGAGCGCTCGGGGAGGGGAGTTGAGCTGATCTCGTGTCACACTGGCCGGTGCCCCAGAAGTGGCCAACAGTCCTCCCAGTACCGGACGTCCCCTTCTCAGCAGGTGTCTGCCCCAGTGAGCGCCCAGCCTCGGGGGAGCACCGAGGGTGACTAATTATCCATCCAGACATCGGCCCCGAGGGTTGTGCAGCCCCGTCCTGGCGGGGGGCGGGTTTCCTCGCTTTCCCGCCAGCTCGGCCGGATACCCAGGTTCAAATGGTCCTCGTTTCCCTGAAGGTCTGCACCTGCCACCCGCGTTTGGGTAACAACCTTTACCTGCTTTATAAAACCTTTAGCTGCTTTATAAAAGACAGCTGCTAAGCTTGAATGTTAGTGAACGGACTGATTGGAAGGGCAATGCGGCGACAAGAGTAGAAACACAAACGGAAGATGAGGCTCGGGGAGGACGAGAGTCAGGGCAGCTTGAGAGCCAGGCAGCGGGGCGCGGGCCGTGGCTGGTGGAACCTTGCGTCCAGCAGGGACTTTCAGAGGGAGCACCAGGGGCCCGGCGTCTGTCACTCGGTCAGCACCTGGCCAGGTGGACAGACGCCTTCAACACCCACAGACACGGGGGCCCAGTTTCACGTGGGAGCGCAGGAGTCTGGCTTGTCTCCGGGCCTCTGGGCAGCCCCGGTGCACAGGGACAGGACGTCCCCAGGCCCAGGCGACAGCGGGGAGCGCCTGGCAGGCCCTGGAGGGTGGGGTTCAGGAGTGGGTCTGGTGACACCGTCACTGAGACACTGGGGTTGGAGCTTTGTCAGAATGTTGGGCAGCAGAATAGCATGTGGTTCAAGAGGGGCATCTGGGAAATCTCGTTCTTCTGTTTGAGATGTTCAGGGTGATGCAGCATCTTCTTAATGACACTTTGTTTCTGTGCACCATTTAGGCTCCTTACCCTCTAAGTCCATTTGTGCTGCTATGACAGGAAGCCGAGGACTGGTCATTTGTAAAGAACAGAGACTTATTTCTTACAGTCGGGGGCTGGAGGTCCCGGGTTGTGGGGCCCACGTGAGGGACTTCGTGCTACGTCATCCCACGGTGGGAGGCGAAGGGCAGAGAGACGTGGAAGGTGACTATTTACCTATGCAGGAACCCTCTGTCTTGGGACATGGATCCAAATGCCTCTGGGGACACTGGCCAGCGTGAAGAGCACAAGTCCCCAGTGCTCACCTGAGAGCATGTGCGGGTGGGAGACAGAGAGAGAGAGAGAGAGAGAGATTGATTAAACTCATAGCCTTGAGCCCTTTGACAGTCAGCATTGATGTACACATGGGATAGAACCCTTGAGGCCTAAATGCTTCCCATTGGGCTCCAACTCCCAGGACTGTTGCACTGGGGGTGAAGTTTCCAGCCAAGATTTTTGGGGGACGCCTTCAAGCCGCAGCGCCCTCTCGTGCGGGTGAGGATGTGCATGTTTAAATGCGTCTGTACAGCCTCACGGCTGCCCAGCGATCCCAGCAACGATGTAGAAAGAACCCGCCTTTGCTAATTATGTAATAATTGGAAGCTGGGAAATGCTCTTTTTTCCTTGTCTTTGACAATTTTACTCGCCTTTCGGACACTCGGCTTGTCAGACAGTGTGTTGTGGTGCCAGCCTGAGCTAACCGGCATTTGGAAGTGGGTAGAGCTGTCCTGGTTCATTTTTGAGGATTCCGGGGTGCAGTGAAGCAGAGCCCATGGCTTTTCCCCGGGAGAGCGATGGTGGATGCTCTGGCGCCTTTAAGGGGAGGTGGCGTCAATCAGGGGTGTCCCTTTGTGGTCACAGGACAGGTTCCCAGGAGAAGCAGCAGCAAGAGGGAGGCAGAAAATAGACTCCCCAAGTTGAACCTCTTCCCCCCAGGTTCCACGCAGCCTGCGGAGCAGGGAGCACAGATGCGCTGGGCGGGGGGCCGCGAGCAGCACCCCACGCCCTCAGGCCTGGGGGGCCGAGCCTCCCCCCATCGCTGCCCCTTCGCGCATGGATGGGAGGCCCTCACGCTGGGAAGCTAGTGTCAACTTTATGAGCAAATTGAACCCTGTCAAATGCGTTGCTAAAGACGATTAGAGCTTGCAGGGCCTGGTGCCCGCATTTCCCCAATTGGGGGTTTCTTTGTTGGTTCGCGTTTTTTTTTTGGCCAATTTTGGTTTCTTTTTTCGGGATTTTTTTCAAGGCAGGAAATTCTTTAGGAAATTTTGCAGGGGTTTTACTTGTTAGGCCGTTGGGGGGAGAAAAAAGTGAAGCCACAAAAGACACTCAAATAATCCCAAAGAAAGTCAGAAGAAGAAGGGAAACAGAGGAAAGAATAAATGAGGAAAGGAGAAAACGGCTAGCAAAACGGTGGATTTAAATCCAGCCATATCGATAATGGCATTCAATGCAAGTGTCCTAAACGTGTTGCAATTTAAAAGCAGAGACTGACAGATCGCAGTAAGAAGCAGAATGTAGCAACACACCATTGCAAGCCCACTTTAAACATGAAGACATGGGGGAAAGTGGTAGTCCAAAGATGGAAGGTGATAGATATCCCAGGCAACCGCCGATGTACAGACAGCTGGACTGGCCGTATTTGCATCAGTCAGCCCAGACCTCAGGGCACGGGACAATACCAGGGATGAAAAGGAATGTTGTTAAATACATAATTAATCAAGAGATATAATCCCGAATGTGTACGCAGCTAATTAAAGAGCTTTAAACTATGTGAAGCAAAAACTGATTGGACCAAAAAGAGAAAGAGACAAATCCCCAATTATATAATAGAGACTGTGATACTCCCCTCTTTGTAATCAGTGGGATGCGTAAACAGAAAATCAGCGAGGGTACAGAAGACCAGAACAGCACACTCTGCCAACTCGATTTATTTGACACTTAGAGAATAATTCACCCAACTACAGCAGAAGAGACGTTTTTTTTCAAGTGCACAAAGAACATTTATCACGACAAACTATATTCTCGGCCATAAAATAAACTGCAACACCTCGTCATATTTAAAAGAATTTAAATTGTATAAAGCATATTCTCTGGCCACCGAGGGATGACATGAGAAGTCTGTAGCAGAGAGGTATCTAGAAAATGCCCTCAAATTTGGAATCCAAAAGACAGTCTTCTAAATAATGTAGGAGTCTGGAGGAAGGCACACGGCATGATAAATTACTGTTTATTGAATGGAATTAAAACACCAGATATAAAACTTGTGGGATACAACTAAAGCAACACTTAGAGAGAAATTTATAGCATTAAGTATTTATATCAAAAACAAGAAAGCTTTCAAATCAAGAATATGTGTTTCTTTCTTAAGCAACTAGAAAAAGAAAAGCCAATCAATTTCGAAACAACCAGAAAGAAGGAAATAATAAAGACAACAGCAGAAACCGATGAAATTGAAAACACAAAAATATAGAAGAATCAGTAATATAAAAAGTCTGGCTTTTTGAAAAGATCAACAAATTGGATAAACCTCCAGCCAGACTGATTCGACATAGGAGAGGAGGACACAAACCCCCAAAATCAGGAATGAAAGAGGGGCGTCGGCACAGATCTTACAGCCCCCTTAACACCCTCTGTCACCGCAAACGCCTTGCTGAAGTCCCACAATTTCCCAAGAGGCCACCCCAGTCATTCTGGCCATTGCTGCAGCCAGATTATTCCTTAAGCGCGAGGAGTTCTGCTCTGACAGTCTTCTGCGTGTGCCATCAGACCAGCTGACTGGGGTGCCCACAGCACCCCCGGGCCACCTGTTAGAGGACAGTGCGGGTGACCTCATCCTGCAGGCTCAGATTCTCCTCTGTCAACGCCAGCGGTTTCCTTCAACTCAGCATCGCCTGTGATGCTGTTTATGCGCAGTTTGGAAAGTGCTGATCTATTCTGCGCTTTAAAAAAAACCGTGTGAAAAGACCCGATAGCAGAGCGTGGTGCTGTCTCGCTGAGGGGCAGGAAGGGAGCTGGCAGGAAGACAGACGTCTGCTGGCGCTGACGTCCCTCTGCCACGGGAGGAATTGGGCTCAGAGGGGGGGGAGGGCCTTGCCTTTCGGCCCCGGTTGGCTTTTGGCTGGGTTGGGTTCCTGGGCCGGGGCCCCAACTTGTTGTTTTTGGGGGGGGCCCCAGGTTTCCCGGGGGGTTGGGGGCCCCGGTTTTGGGTTTTGCGAGCAGGTTCGAATCCGCCCTCCACCTGTTGCTCTGGGCTGTCTCAGGTGAGGAGCCGGGAGGGGGGAGCAGGTGGTCCAGCCTCAGGGTTGGAGGTGGGGAGGCCCGACCTGCTGATGGGCTCCAGGCGGGGAGGAAGGAAGGGGAGGCTCCGGGCGGGGAGGAAGGAAGGGGAGGCTCCGGGCGGGGAGGAAGGAAGGGGAGGCTCCGGGCGGGGAGGAAGGAAGGGGAGGCTCTGGGCAGAGAGGAAGGAAGGGGGGGCTCCGGGCAGAGAGGAAGGAAGGGGAGGCGTGCAAGACGGCGCCCGCTGGGTGTCCACCCGAGCCGTGTGAGCCCTGGGCGTGTGGTTAGCGCGGCGATCGTGGCGACAAGACGTGATGAAACGCAGTTTGGTGAGGACGTCTGGGGCTCTGTTTGGGCGACTTGGGTTCGAGGTGCCTGTCGGACGCACGAGGAAGGAGTGATGTTTCCATCATCATAATCAGGTCGCCGTGACACTGGAATGCTTCACGAGCGTGGAAACACGGTGGCCCTGACCCAGTGCGCGCCTGCAGGCTGAGTCAGGTCACAGTGTCCCACGGCGACAGTGCACGGCGACAGCGCACGGCGGCTCTCCTACGCGCACTCTCACGCGGGCTTGCGCAACGTCCCCATGGGCAGGGCCGCGTGCTCCCCATGCTCATGAGGGTGTCCGGTGCCGGCCCCTCTGCCGCTGTGTGCAAAGCGCCTGCCCATTGGCGCAGCTGTCTGACGACCACGTGACTGGTTTCCTGTCGAGTTAGGTTGAGAATCAGGATTTCAGTTTCCCAAGTTTGGTGGCAGCGCATGAAGATGCTGTTCCCGCCGGCGGCGCCGGGGCGCTGCGGGCTGGGGGTGTCGCCTGGCTTGCCCGCCTCGCCCCGCGGGAGCAGCGCCCCGCGCAGAAGCCGCGTCCGGTCTGTGCCAGCTCCTCGGGAGCCCGCAGTGGCGCACGGTTGCTCCCTCCCTTTAGCAGACGCGTGCACCCCTGACGTCCAAGGCCAGCTTGGCGCCACGGCGCAAAGTGCAGCCCAAGGGCGTGGCGTTAACACCACGTGAGCATGGACACGCGTGGGAGCCCCGACCCCGCACGGGCGTCGCAGCTGGTTCCCGTGACCGCAGGGCCCGCGCTCTGGGCGTGTGGGGAGGGAGGCCAGTGCCGTGGGCTTGCGGGCAGCAGGGGCTTCGCTGGGTTCTAGAAGGTGGGGCGGGCAAGGTCCAGGTTGAAGCGGGGCTTGGGCAAAGGCCCTGGGGGTATGAGACTACATTTGTAAAAAAAGTTGTAATGGCAGAAGTTGAACAAACTAACTTAAGCTCCAGAGAGAATTTCCCGGTCTGAGTGTGGGCGTGGCTGGATCTAGGAGTCCAAATGACAGATCAGAATCTGTCCCCTCTCAGCTGGTTCCCTCCACGCCATCTTACTCGCTGGCTCAGCGCCGCCCCTCCCTGCCGAGGAAAGGAGCTCTGCTTTTTGCTTACGTGAGTATCTGGCTGCGGAAGTCCCCGGGCTGGTTCCTGCCCCGAGTCCATTTCTGAGCCGATCGCTGGCCGGAGGGTCTCGTGCTGTGATCTGACAAACCCTGGGCCGCCCAGGGCTGCAGGCCCACGTCAGCCTCCCTGAACCCCGAGAGTTGGGATGAGGGCAGGTGGTTCTGCAGAGGGAAGCCCAGCTGCTGCCACCAGGGGAAGGAGCAGGTGCCGGGAAGCAAACTGACAAGGGCGTGGCGCAGAAGCCTCCAGCTAGGTGGTGCCAGGTGCTTCTACCGGTCTGTCCGTTCACCCTCGAGTTCGCTCACTCAGTTGAGTGTACGAGCCTCCTATAGCTGCTGGAAAACATCAGCACTAACGCAGCGGCCTAGAACAGCACTCACCTATCACCCGGCAGTTCTGGGGGTCGGAGGTCCGGAATGGGCTAAAATCAAGCTGTCGGGAGGGCTGCGTTCCGTCTGGGGGCTGCAGAGAGCGTTTTCCAGCTGCCTTCCTTGGGCTGTGGCTCCTTCCTCCTCTTCAAGCCAGCGACCCCCCGACGGAGTCCTCCTCGCGCTGCCTCTCCCCTGGGCTCTTTCTTCTGTCTCCCTTTGCACTCGTGAAGACCCTTGCAGTTGCCTGGGCCACCGGACGACCTTTTCAAGGTCAGCTGACTGGCTGGCAACCATAATTGCTTCTGCGAGCATGATGCCCTTGCCGGGCAAGGTGACGCATTCACAACTTCCAGGGATCGGACATAGACATCTTTTGGGGGGGTCATTCTGCCACCACATTCAGCTGTGTCCACTCGCCAGGCACTGCTAGGCACCAGAGATACAAAGACGAGTAACCGCAGCCCCTGAATTCAAGAAATTTTCTATGCGCTGGAGGTGGGGGGCTGAGTGCTCCGAGCACGTGATCCAGGCGGGTTTCTGGCTTGTCTGAAGTGTGGGGCAGAGAGGCAAAGGTAGTGGGGAGCTCTTGGAAGACCTCGAGTGCCAAGGAGGGAAGCTTTCATTCTGCAGACACTCTGTCGCTGTTGGAGAGGTGGCTTCCTGTTTATTTTATTTTATTTCATTTTAAGCAGGGTGATGCCCGGACTCAAGTTTCAGCAATTTGGCTTTGGAGGCAGTCTGACAAGTCAACCAAAGAGGATGACAAGGTAATAGGCTTATCCTAAAGAGATGAAATGTGTGATACAAAACGCCAGCCACTAATAGAGAAGAACGCGGAGCCTCAGGCAGAGCTCGGTGTAGAAGTGGCGTCGGGACCGAGGGTGACAGCTCGGCGTGACGCTCCCCGACTGGGGCTACTTTCTACAGGCATGCACGTCCACTCCGCGTCTCATTCATCCTTGAGCAATTACGGATGAAATCGACACATTATTCCTCTTCTTAGAAAAGAGGAAGCGGGTCCCGAGAGGTTAAGTGACAGAGTGCCACGTGTACACTGCTGTCGTCCCCGGAGAGTGTGTTTTGAAGGACGGTGGGTGGGAAGAAGTGCTCTCCTCCGGGGCAGAGGCAGCCTCGTTCCTCCGGTCTGTTTTTACGCATTTGATGATTTTTTTTATTTTTATTTCAGATTCCGCATACAGGAGGGATCAGTGGTATGTTTCCTTCTGTGTCTGGCTGCCTTCACTTAGCATAATGTCCCTCCCACACTCTTAGCAGTGGTTTTTCTGAGTCTGGAGGCTTTTGTTGAGCATTTTGACAGCCTGGGAACCTCCCTCTTCCCTGAACATCCTCCCTGGCATCTTTGTTCTCTCATTCAGCTTCAGGGGGGGCTCAGGTTTGATGCACCTGTTCTGCCATCTCACCTTTTTAATGTGGTTGCTTTTTTTTTTTTTTTTTGTTTGCTGTTGTTTTCTGTCTTGGTATAAATATGCATCCTGCTGTTCCTGGGCAAGGTGTTCTATCAACATGAACGAGGTCAACTTGCTTGGCCGTGTTGTTCAGGTCTTCCACATCTTTACTGATTTTCTGTCTACTTTTCAATTCGATCATTGAGAGAGATGTTAAAATCTCTGCTATAGTTATTGATTTATTTCTCCTTTTGGATCTGTTAATTTTTGTTCTGTGTACTTTGAGCTCTGTCATCAGGCTCATAAACATTTAGGATTGTTACATCTGCTTGATGAATTGATCCCGTCATCGTGATAAAATGAGCCTTTTTCTAATCCCTGCTAATTTTCTTTGTTTTGGAATTGACTTTGTTTGATATTGATGAATCCACTGCACCTTTTTGATTGGACTTAGAATGATACATCTTTTCCTGTCATTTTACATTTAAACTATTTGTGCCTTTCTATTTACTATGGGTTTCTAGACAGCACACAACTCAGTCTGCTTTCGTATCTATCCTGATAATCTATGCCTTTTAATTAGTGTCTTTTGCCCATTTATATTTATGAGGTTCCTGATATGGTTGGTTTTAAATCTACTATCTTGCTATTTGTTTTCTATTTGTTACATTTGATTTGTGTTCCTACTTATTTTTTTTTTATGTCTTCTTTTGGATTAATTGTATATTTTTTATGATTCTATTTTATCTCTTTTATTAGCTTCTTAGCTATACCTCTTTATTTTGTTGTTTTAGTGGTTGCTTTAGGATTTGTAGTACACATCTTTAATTTATCACAGTCTACTTTCAGTGATACTTATGTCTGGCATAAGGACCTTATAATAGTGTACTTCCATGCCCCCCACCTTTGAGCTGTCCCCTCTGTACATTTTACTTCTGCATATGCATTGTTATTATGTTTGGTTTAAACAACCAGCTATATTTTAAAGAGGTTTAACTAATAAGCATTGCCTTTATATTTGCCCATGTAGTTGCCATTTCTAGAATTCTTTATTCCTTTATGTCAACCCAAGTTTCCATCTGCGTTCACTTTCCTTTTGCCTGAGGGAGTTCCTTCATCATCTCTCGTCCTGCAATTTTACGGTGATAATAGCTTCAGCTTGATATGCCTGAAATCTATTTTGTCTTGATTTTGGGGCAGCTACTTTTGCTGAGTAAAGGATTCTAGACTGACAGCGTTTTCCAGTAATTTAAAGGTGCCGAGCTGCCGTCTTTCAGCCGGCACCGTGTCCAGTGAGACATCTGGGTCCGTCACCCTGATCCGTCTTCCTCCCCGGGCACTGGGACCCCTTTCCTCTGGCCGCTTTTACGATTTTTCCTTTTTTAAATCATTGGCTTTGGTCCGTTTGCTTATCTTGTGCCTTTGTGTAGTTTTCTTCATGTTCATTGTATTTGAGGATTTGTTGAGCTTTTTGACCTATGGGTTTGTGTTTCATCAAATTTAGAAAATTTTGGACATGCCGTCCCCAACGTCTCTCTCTCCCTCAGGAACCCCCATTGCACGGGTATCTGGCCACCTGACGGTGCCCCACGGCACACCGATACTCCGTTTGTCTCCCCTCTGTTTAATGCCACGTGTTTCTATTGCAGTGTCTTCAAGTCCGCTAGTCCTTCCTTCTGCAGTGTTCCATCTGTTGTTGATTCCACCTGCCGTGTTTATCTCAGCCTCAGGCTTTATATTTCCATCTTTGGAGTTTCAGTTTGGGCCTCTTTGATGTCTTCCAGGGCTCTCACCATGCCGAGCCTTTGCTCCTCACCTGGACCACATGGAAAGGTTGTCACAGCTATTTTATGCCCTTTTCTGATGATTTTACTGCCCATGTCAGCGCTGGGACTACCTTCTCCACACCATGAGTGTCGTCTTCTTGTTTCACACATGCCCGATGATCTTTGCTCGGACGCCAGCCCTTGCTGATTTTACCGCACTGCGTGCTGGGTGTCGTTCTGTTCCTGTACATGTTCTCGAGCCTTGCTCTGTACCGTGGCCAAGTCCCTCGAAACAGTCCGATCCTTTCGGGTTTGGCTTTTACGCTTCTTCGGTGGCAGCAGAGCGGTTTTTAATCTAGGGCTGATTTCCTCCACTGTTGAGGGAAAACTCTACCCCGGGCCCTGAACTTGCGATTTCCACCTTGCCTGGTGGGAAGGTGCCGTTCCTGTGCTGTGAGTGCCAGTGACTCTCCCCTAATCCTTTCGGGTGGTTCTCCTCCCGGTCTCGGGCAGTGTTTTCTCACGCGTGCTCACATCAGTCCTCTGTTGAGCATCCCAGGGTACCTGCCGTGGGTCCCCTGGGGTTCTCACCGCGCCAGCCTCTCCTTCGGCTCTCTGCCCTGTGGACGCTCTGGCCGCCCTAGAATTTGTGGTTTTCCTGCTCACTCTCCTTAGCCAAAGGAGACTGACTGCTGGGACCTGTCTACGGAATGTTTCAGTGAAATACTTACTTTTTAAGGCAGATGCAAGAAAACCACTCGCTAGGTCTTCTCTCTACAGCTTTCCCCTAAAACTATAAGTATTGACCTACTGCCGTGGCTGGTCCCAAGTCTGCTCAGCTGTGAGAGCTAGGACGCTCCTCCTTGCTGCGGTTTGTGCCGACTAGTTACGGTTCCGCCGCTGTGACATGCACCCAAACCTAGTGACCAACCTTCCTCTGTCCCTCACAGGGCCTGATTTCAGTTCCTGCACCGTGTGAAATACAACTACTGTCTCTTTTCTTTTCCAAGCGTGGTGCTCGCATTTAAATGTGACTACAGGCAAGTTCCAATTATAGGGCATGATCTGACCTCCTGCCCCTAGATGTGATGCTTCCATTCACGCAGTTGAAGATGGCTTTGACCTTTTTGATGCTATCTGTTATTCTGTTGTCTGACAGCACATTACAGTTGACTGAAACTCCCAAATCTTATTTACATATGAGATCGCTAAGGTATAATACACATGGTATTTCTTTGTTTCAGTAGTGGCTTCTGAGGGGCAGGTTTGGCCAAAAATTTGTTTAAAAAGAGCAAAAATACAAATGCAGGATCCAGGTTCTCAGTTGGGTGGTATTAAACATTTATGTCCTGCCTTATATTTTAAGTGAAACTGTATTTTGTGGGGACTTGTTAGAGGAGGGTGCATGTTTAAAATTCATCTGGAGGTTTAGGCTACCTGAATATTTTGATACTTTATAGAAGTATCAAATTCAGCAGATTTCAGGATTTCAAGCCAGACTGTCTTTTAAATTGGTTCTGATTCATTAAACCACACTTTAGAGAGCACTTATTTAACCGATAATACTTACGGTATTGAAGTTTATGAAGTAACAAATGGCATGTGCTATTGACTTAATGCTGGAATAAAGATGAGCTATTGATATTTGATTAAGATAACAGCTGTTTTATAAGTGCTATACCCTAATGCAAAGAACACTGTTATTATGCAGTGGGATAAAATAGTTACTGCAAAACACCACAATTTAGAAAATAAAGGTTACTTGAGAGCATGAAATTATTTCAAGTTAATTTTGCACTCTGCTCTTGAAGCTGATTAGTGTGAAATGTAATGAAATGCAATTTTTGCAAAACAGCTTGTGCCAGGAGAGTCACACAGAAACCTGCAATTAGCACTGATTGATAGTGGGACCTTTTGTGTCAAAGAAGATTTGAGTGCATGGTGCTTGTTGGGAAGGTGACCTCCAGCCCGGCGGGTCACCCTCGTCTCTGGGAAGTGGACTGGCACTGGGTTATTCTGTTTTTGTGATCATCCTTTGGGGGCAATGGGGACGTTGACAATCTGGGGAAGGAGTTGGTGGCACCTTGCAGCGGTTCTTGTGTGTGTGTGTGTGTGTAGAAAGAGAGAGAGGGAGAGAAGGAATTGGCTCATGTGCTTATGGAGGCTGACGTGTCCCAAGATCTGGGGTTGGCAGGTGAGCTGGAGACACAGGAGCTGATGGTGCCAGTTTTAGTTCCAAGGCAGGAAGAAAACCTGCTGTCCCAGCTCAGGCGGTGGTGGGGCAGGTGGAGTTCCCTCCTACGCTGCCTTCTTGTTCTACTCAGGTTTTCAATCGATTGGATGAGGCTCCCCCACGTTGGGGAAGGCAATCTGCTTTGCTCCGTCTGCTGACTCAGACATTAATTTCATGTAGAAACTCCCTCTCGGACACACCCAGAATGACGTTTAACCGAATGTCTGGGCAGCCCATGGCCCAGGCAAGCTGACACATGCATTAACCCTCACAGACCGTGTTGTTTCTCTGTTGGGTGAGCTGGCCAAGCCTCCCTCTGACTTCTAATCCACTTTATTTTATAGGGATGTGTTTTAATTGGA